GTTTTGGATTTGTTCATAGGTGGGAATACTGAATGTGAGAAAGGAGCCAGGCCTTGCTCAAAACTGGGCAGGATGTGTTAGGCCTGGAATGTGACTGAGCCATGTTTCCTTTTCCATAAACATCTGGCATGCATTTGCATTGGTGTTGCTACACTACATGTTGTTCAGTACCAAACCTAAATTGCTGAAAGGATTTAAAGGAGACTTAGGAGTATGTAATGATCAGATTTTACTTTATAGAGATTATGCAGGTTTATTTCACAAATTATAGAGTTTTCCTACATATCTGTGCATTTTTTGCTTGCATGTATGTTTCAAACTCTGTTATAAGTGATTTGAGAGCAGAGATTGTAAACTGCCATCTTTTATTTCTTTATCTGTATGCTAAGGCCGAACAAAGGCAATCAGTTATTATTTACTTAATTTTTTTTGCCAGTGGAAACCTGCACTTCAAATTGTAATAAATATTTGCTGTTGCATAATAAAGAAACTTGCTGTGTGTTCCCCATGCCTGTTTTTCTTTAAATTTCCCCTAATTCATTTTCAGGTCAAGCTGCAGTAATTCATACATTCATAATTAATGTGTGTTACTTAGAGATGAACAAAAATTTATGTCTCATACATAATTGAATATTCTTTAAAATGAAAAACATTGATATTTGAGGATTTCCTTAAAATATTTGGTTTATTTTTACCAGAATAAGTTGAAGTTTTGTTTATAGGTTTTTAACTTAGAAATAATACATGCTTAAAAAATTTAATCAAACTATTAGCTGCCTATTTTCCTATGAGTATTAGGGTATTAGGGGGTGCAAGTGAAATAAGTTGGGAAAGACAGAAAAAAATACTATATTGGATAACATTTAAAATAAATAATAGAAGGCAAAGATTTAGTCTGATTTCTTCTCTGGCATGGTCTTTAACATAATCACCAATTCACTTTAAATTTATCATATTATCGGGTATATTTTTTTAAAACAATCACAAGGCTTGGGTGAGTTTACATAGCTAAATAGTGTAATTATGTATGTATTCTTTTTTAGAAATTTGTAATCCTTTTTAAGTTATTAAATTCTTTAGTTAAGTGTTCAATTGCAGTATATATATAAACTGAATTTTATAATATATGTTTATTCATATTTTCATACATATGCACAACATATTTTGATCAAACCCACCCACCTGCATCCCTTCCAACTTTTCCAGAATTAGAAATCCTCTTTAGTATGTCTCTATAAATTTCATGTATTCTAATTTTCATCCCACTGAATGTAATTAATCGTGCTAGTATGCACCAAAGTATAGTACCAACTACTGGAGGTGCACTTCTCAAACTGTAACCCTCTTGAGGGTCATCTATCAAATATCCCGTATATCAGATAGTTATAATTCATAACGGTAGCAGAATTACAATTATGAAACAGAAACAAAATTATTTTATGCGTGGGGGGGGTCACCAAAACATGAGGAACTGTATTAAAAGTTTGCAGCATTAGGAAGGGTGAGAACCACTATACTGGAGCATGGAATGCCTACCCCGGAACCTCAGCCCTGAAGAATACTGGCTTTCCATCCCCTCCAAAGTGTCAGGTATCAAGAACTTTTCAACTACATGTGGGGCTTTGTGAGACCCCCCTCAAAAATGCCAGCATAGGAAGAAAGGAATAAGCCTGGTTCACTTTTAATCTATAATGAATAAGTTACCGATCAGTGCCGGGTTTATTTCCTCCTGCAAGTGTATTTCTGACTCAAGTATTTATTTTCCAGCATTTCATTCTTTGAAATGAATTACTTTCTGTCATATTTAAGGTAAAAGAAAAGATTTTGAAATGGACATGCTCACTGAGGGGTTGAGGAGATGACTCAGTGGGTAAAAATGCTGCTTTGCAAGCATGAGGACTTGCATTTGGAACCTGAGTATTCACAGAAAAATGCAGATACATGGATGTGTATTTCTGAACCTGGAGGTCCTAAGATCTTGCTGGTAAGCATACTTAAAAAGGCTAGCTTCTGGCTCCAAGGCAAACTGCAATAGAGGAAAGCATGTATTTTGCTCTGACCGCCACATACATTAGCATGCACCAGCACACTCATTAACATACACCTTACACACGGAGTGCATAAATGCATGCTCACGTGCATGCGCACACACACGCTGCGCGCGCGCGCGCGCACACACACACACGCCACTGAAGCCGGTAAAAGATATTAAACTTCCTCACCTGGTAAAAACACATGTGTTATATTTAATTTAAGCACTAATGACAAACAACATTTAATACTCCAGAGGTTGATTTTATCTGCCTGCCTATACTTAACGCTGAAAAAGTTGTTAAAAACATTGCATTCATCACCAAATTAAAGTGACTTTGAAAAATAATTCACGTAACCCTCCTGCGTGGTTTTCTGGGAGGTTTGCGATCTCTGCAAGCATGTAACTTAGCTACATTAAGCAGGTCCCCATGTGAGCAGCTCAGGGACACAGTTCAGCCAGCAAGGACATTATGTAATAATAGGAAATGGAGAATAGAGGTGCTCAAGCCACAGGTATTTGCTTTCAGGGACATTACTTTTCAATCTCCTCAAAAGGCTACCTAGAAGTACTTCTCACTACTAGCCCTATTAAAAGCTCGGAGACATCTAGCATTAGAGTGAAAAGAGCAAGGTATTTTTAGGAGGAATAGTGCCACAAATTAGACTCAATCATAGCAATCAGGGCTCTTTACTGTTAATTTCATACAGGCAATGATCTTTATAGGTCCTTTCTCTGGTTTTTCTTTCTTTTTTTGTCCTCCTTACTATTTGATGAATTCATTTACATAGCTAAGCCCTATTCAAGCTTCAGTTGTGAGTTTTTTCCATTATGATCTGTATTATTACACTTACCAGATTATAGTGGAGTGCCTTAAATATACTTCCCCTCCCATTGACTATGAACTCTGTCATTCTGACACCTAGTATTACAGACACAATATACATGATGATGAGGTATCCAATGAAAATACTAGAATATCAGATCCATGACAATAATAATAATAATACTAATAATAATAATAGTTATTGTTGTTGTTGTAAATTTGAGATACTTAACGTTAATCACAGGGCTTTGCACTTGCTAGGAAAAGTGTTGTCTCACTGAGGTACATCCCCAAGACCTATATTTATTTCCTATGCCTAAGTTGCAAACTTGGCTTGGAACTCGTTTCGTAGCCTTGACAGTCCTTGAAATGGCAATCCTGCTTCAATACTTGAGTGGCTGATATTAGAGATCATCCTCTATGTGGAATGGGCTCCTGAAGTCCACACCTATGCTAGGGATAAGTATTGAACTACTACAGGAGAGCCTGTAGATTTCATTGTGGCACATCTATAATCTTAGATCTTGGGAGGCTGAGGCTGTCCCAGGGTACATAGCTAGACCCTGACTCAGAAAGGAAAAAAAAAAGTACACTCCTTGGAAATAGAGGGTCATTTCATTGTCTGTGTTGCTGATGCTTAGTAGATTCCTGGGATGCAGTAGACACATGGAGGTTGAGTGTGTTCTCATGGTGAAATTACGAAGATCAGATTTTTCAGTCACTTGGACAGTACACTGGGTTCAGCAGACACTGCCTGGGTGCTTGGTCATCTTGAGAAATACTGTTTTGCCTCTTGATTTAATGTCTATTTCAGAGCTGAGGGGAGCAGTAAAATCCAAGCCCGAATGGAACAGCAGCCCACTCGTCCCCCACAGCCATCACAGCCACCACCTCCTCCACCACCCATGCCATTCCGAGCCCCAACGAAGCCTCCAGCTGGACCCAAAACTTCTCCCTTGAAGGATAACCCCTCACCTGAGCCCCAGCTGGATGACATCAAAAGAGAACTGAGGGCTGAGGTCGGCATCCAAACGGCCTTATCAGAAAGACTGTGTGCTCATTATCAATCATGACACTGAGGAGTATGTGCTGGAGAAGCTCAGCAGCAGCATTCAGGGCAAGAAGACGCCAAAGAATTTCAAGGAAGTCTTGATGTTTTAAGTGAAGGCAGAGTATAAGCATTAGAGTACAGAGAGATGTACTGTAGGTGCATTAACTGTTGTGCTCTCACCTTCACTTTGTTTTCTTTTGTAGGAAATGATTTGCAGTT